CACATGAATAACAGTGCTGTAAAATTTGTAAATCCACACTGACATATAATTGTAAGTCTGAACAACAGCTCTCTAGGTGACATGCCTTTTGTTTTTTATACAATCTTAACAAAAACTCACCAAACATCTTAAAGTGACATTAAAGTTACATTTGTTTTCCTCCCCTGCCTATGCTGGTGTAAGGACCTACCTTAAATGATGCCTCTTGATCCGACCATCTTCTTTCCAGTAGTTTTCAGGATTCCCTCCAGCGATGGTGCCGGTCTCTGATCTCTCACTGTCCCACGGAAAGATTGTAAAAATAAACAGAGACATACACAGAACAGAAATAAACAATTATGAATACCTGTATGCAAAACATATGGTTAAGAATGAAGAACCCAATAGATAACATATCAATTATTATACATCTTTCCGACGAACACACAAATAGTGATAACTAATTATATACAATATACTGTATTGTATCTATGGGTTAAATGTTTTAAAGGGAATATTTTAGAGCAGTTCCTCAACCAATGAGGGCAAGTTGCCTCAAAAACCCACATACATTTGATTTCCTTTTGTCAGATCAGCTGATCAAAGTGTCCCCCATGTGGAGTTTTTTTGGACATTAGCTTTAGTTTATTTCTGTAAAGTTATAAGATTAGATATTTAATTTAGATTTTTTTTTTATGGTTGATCATAGGAACTGCTCCAAAATATTCCCTGTAAAACGGGTCTCAAACTCAATTCACTCACGGGCTACTGGACACATTGTTTTCTCCCATGGGGGCCGCTTGTCAAATTTCATACTTCAAAATAAAATGTAACTATACACAATACCAGTGTTAATGTCTGCATGTGTTTCTAATGTCAGTATGTATTTGTGATGGTTTCTTTGTATGCAATGTCAGTATATTTTTTTATAATGGTTTGTGTATTGTCAGGATTTCTGTGAGTGATGCCAGTATGTGTGCTAATGTTTCTGTGTGTGCCGTATCAGTATACATGTGTATGTGTGTGCAGTGTCAGTATGAGTATGTGTGCGGTTTTTCCTACAGATTTTAATCATAGAGGACAGGACCAACAGATTCACACATTCACTCAATCAGAAACACACACATAGAAATACGAACCCCCCCCCCCCATACAAACACAGATATGCAGACACTAATACACATACAATAAGGCCCCATTTACCTGTATCTTTAGGTGCAATTAGGGATTCCTTGCGTTTTCCTGCAGCAGGAATCCCTAATGTGGCGTTTACACCCATTCGAGTTAATGATCAGATGACAACCGCTGCATGTAAACGCCTGCACACTGCATGTAATGGTGTGTGATATGATTACATTAGGTTAAGAATCAATCCCTATCCCTGGATGCATTGATCGATGCGTCCGGTAGAGCCCCCTCACCTGCATATGTTTCTGCAGGGAGAAGGCGCTGAGGCACGATCCCTGGTGATCCAGTCGTGATTAGTAAGGTCTGGTGCAGACCTTACCATTTAATCCTTTCGGCTGGCGTTCAGTGAAAACGTCGGCCAAAAGGATCTAAATGCCGGCAGTAACATGGGCAGATCTGCGGTCTGCATCCGACAGAGACCGCGTACTTGACTTGTCAGCTGGCTGCGGGCCACAGAGTACCGGTTTGCGGGCCAGTACTTTGAGACGACCGCTGTAAAACATTTAACTCTTAGATGGATACTATATATTGTATATAATGGGTTACCACTATTTGTGTGAGAGTAAGATCAATTCTGTGTTATGATGTACAATGATCAATGTTTTCTATTTAGATTGTAGTATTAAAACAGGGAGGCATTCTTCAATTTTTACAATCATATTTATTGCATAAAGGTATTCGTAATTGTGTGTGTTTTTTTGGGGGGGGGAGGGTGACGTCTTTTCCCGCACTTCCTACTTTAAGGGCCCACGTAGATGGGAACTTTATTGAGCCTTACCTCTGACGCAGCTGGGTGGGACAAGCGAAACTCGTCAGGTGCAGGCTGGGTACAGAGATCAACACTCTCTCCTTACTCCCAGTGGAAGCATGGGTTGATCAGCAGTTGTGCATTTGCTTATAAGATTTATGTTGCTATACTTTATTCAGAAACAGCAATATTTTAGTTGGTATTGAACTTCCAGATATCTGAGGTGTGGAGAGTATACCAGATGTTTACTTAGGGCATATGTAACTAGCCTTGAATGGACAATTAATTTCATGAAACATATATAGTATAAAGATTCTATACTGTTTTCATCTTGGATGTGCACAGCTTATCTGATTATGAAGATAAAAAGAACTGCTGTCTTTTCTGCATCGATTTTGTTATTCCACATCTACTACTTGTGATGTTGGCACATGCAGGAAACAGCACAGTGTTACTGCCATGACCTATATGAGAAGCGCTCATTTGAATTTTGAGAGACATCATTCCTGCATGCAGCAGTGACATATTACATTTGGACGTTTGAGTTACCAGTTTCACCTTAAGGTGCCCATACACTCTACGATCGTACGATAATCGCGGGAAATCCCGCAATCATACGATAATCGCAAAGTGTATGGAAGGCGTGCGACCGTTTCTACTGTACGATCGCACGGTTTCCGTCGAACAAGCAGGCTGGAAAACCCGCTGAGAATTGTACGATTCTCGGCGGGTTAGTGGGGTGCTTGTTCGACAAATGCTGAACGGGCCAATGTGCGCACACTGCCCGTTCAGCATTGCAGTCATCGGAAGCCCGCCCCGCAGATCGTACTTGCGATGATCGCAAGTACTATATGCCTGTCCTAGATGGGCAGATCGTACGTTTTTTTTATTACTTTACAACCATCGCAAGACAAAAGTCTTGTGAGGGTTGTACAGTGTATGGCCACCTTTAGATGTGTGCAGTCTACTTAATTACCAAGGGAATTCATACTCTGCATGGAATTGATTACTGCACATTCACTGCATATAAGATGGACATATTTTGCCAGACAGCAGTACAACGCAACAGTCGTGCCCTATATGAATAGCTCTCATATACATAATGCACTATAAGTTTCACTTTTAACAAACAGTGGATTAATACAAGTGATACTCACTGGCAGTGGGATTACAAGACAACTATAATCTGTTTTAAAATTACTGACTCATGGATGCTGATTATACAATGTTTCAGAGAATTTTTGTCCTAACATACAAAAAAAACAAAAGTGAGTCACCTGGAAAGCTGTTGTACAGACTTGGAACTATCTGCCACTGTGGGCTTAGAAATTGTATAGGACTACTATACATGTGTTTCTAAGATATCTTGATTAAGTTTGTTTGCATACAAGTTCTGGATTCTGGATTATTACTGATCAGTTGTGCTTTGTTTACCAAAAATGTTCATCTGTAATGAACCTAAACACAGATATCAGAAGAACATGGGAGAGCCTGCTGATTTAAGTATTCGGCCATCATTTTTCTAAAATCAGCTATTTTGGCCTAGATTGTTCACTTCTCCTGCCTTCTCCAAACTCTTCATTCTTTTGTGAATAACCCTGTTAATCTATTTCAGATTATATGAACATATGATATAATTGTTATATGTGATGTATTGCTGTACACTGCTTTGTAGCTGTATTTTTTAGGGGGAGGAAGGGAATTGAGTATTTCATGGTTATCACCATGGTAGCATTTTATAATATTTGCATCAATAAAAAAATATAAAAAAAAGTGTGGTTCCTCAGGCATGCTGTATATAGTGAATTAACACATTGGATCATACTGTTCCTGAAAACAGGACTTTTTTTTTTTTGCAATTGATTTTTCAATACCAGTGGCTCTGAACCATAAGTGATTTTTTTTATTTTTCCTGATTTTGATCATTTTGAACCTTGTGTCAGAACATTACTGTTTACATTCATGTCACATGTTGCTGCTGACTACAACAACCCACTGGAATCCTGACCTTTCAAATTGCATTACAAAAAGCACAGATTCTGACTAGTTTCTATTGACAACCACTTTCCCTTTATACATCAAAGTTGTGGATTTTCTTTATATATTTTAAAGTGAGCATTTTTCTGTGAAAACTATTACAAAGCCTGAGAAATTTAATTACCCAACTTCTTGGCAAATGTATTTTTTTTAGCATACCTGTGGTTCAAAATGACAACATTTTGGAGTGAATGGGGTATCGTAGCGTTCATCACTTGCAACTGCATAACCCAAGTTTATTTAATGAAAAAGTTTACATTCTTTGCAATATGTAAAACAATAGTTACTGCTGGCATGAAGTGTTGCTATAAAATGGAATGTTTACAAGTCCCAGATCATTAAAAACAGAATTTACTATTATTTAAAAATAGTGGCAGAAAGTGTACACTCCAGCATGTGATCTGCCATGTAGATTTCTAAATCACATTGCTAAAACACAATCTATAATGTTTTATATGTACATCCAGTTATAAGAAAATCCCAGTGACTTAATTACATTGTTCATTCTTATCAGTGTGAATATAAAGCCACACTAACTACTGGGATCAGCTAGTAGAGCAGACAGGATATGTGCTTGTGTTTTTTGAACAGTATTACAAAAACCAGCTGCCCAGCCTGAAGATTGGAACCCTATTTTGGTTAGACAGTACCAGCATGATTAGTGTATAACCGGAGTAGAATCTACAGTTTCTTGTATCATGTAGAAATTTTTGTTTGGATCCTACATGGAAGAGATTAGAGGGCTTCTGTAAAAGCATTCTTTCATGACAGGGACCAGTTATGTAAATGTAATATATATCTCAAAACGCACATCAGCCAAGCCCCATTCACCAGTGAATATAGAAAGGCATTATACTCCAACTCAAAAAAGGATCTGTTCACAAACTGCAGACAATTAACACCAGTTTCTTGGTGCTGGCTGCACAGCTACTTATATGTAGACTACATCTGAACCTGTGGTTGGACAACAAGCTTGTAATCCACTCTATTGCATTTTGAATCATTCAACATAAAATATATCCTTAAGCATAAAAACCATTTCTTCTTTTTCTTCTTAATATTGAGCATGTGTGCTGCCACCTCTTTTTGTTTTTTCATCGCAACCAGGAAGATGGAACCCACTGAGGCTCTGTGTCCAATTTGTTAATAATTCGATGCAATTCCTGATAAGCCTTGTCTAGGTCAGTATTTACAATGGCTGTGTCAAAGTAATGCCCATTATTTTGCTCCATTTCTCTTGCTTTTTCAATAATTTCTCTTAGTTCCTCTGGCTGTATGAGAAAAAAAAAATGTAATTAGCAACAAAGACAGAGGTGTGGAAACATGTAATGCAAACTATAAACAAAATCAGATAACTAAATATTTGTACTCCGCATGAAATCCTTTTCATTGGGTTAAACAGCAGAAAACTGGATGTATACACTGCAGCTAGGAGGATGGATGCCAGACAAATCAAAATGCACAACTACTCCGTGTGGTGGTGAATACCTCCTACAAATACCGAGTAAGTCCAGAAGTAGCAAGCAGTGAGAGAAAACAATACCTTTCGAAAAACACATTCTTAATCAAAACATACCCCTCACAGCAGAACACACAAAAAATAATAAGATGTATCTGCAACACCAAATGCCCCCCCCCCCCTTCACCCCAAGAACTATTGGACAAAAGTATTTTAAACCAAGTACAAAAATATATCTTTCTCCCAGCTTTTGGATTAGTGTGATCCTAGTTCATTTTATTACTTCATTGCTGTGCTGTATATGTATAGGCCAATGTAGTTGGATCTGTATGTGAGTTATAATTAATCGATTCAATTTTTTTTCGATAAATCGAACACGAAAATTTTTATAAGTACCAGCCCTACTTTTTTTTGTTATATAGTAAAAAATAAAAACCCTAGGGGTGATTAAATATCACCAAAAGAAAGCTCTATCTGTCCCCCAAAAATGATATCTAATTCGTTTCAGTACAGTTTTGCATGACTGAATAAATGTCACAGTACCTCAGCGCTGAATACTGAAAAATGGCCTGGCCAGGAAGGGGGTTTAACACCCTGGTCTTCAAGTGGGTAAAGCTGCAGGATAGAATACCAGTTTTTGGAACAGGAGGCCTGGATGATTGGGTAGTGCCGATGGAGAATCTGCCAGGAGCTGAATTAGGTCCGCATACCTTGGTCTTCTGGGAAAGATGTGAACTATGAGTATCTCTGGAATGTCTTCGAAGGAGTCAAGGCAACAGTTTCAGGGGAGGGAAAGTGCAGATCAGGCTGAGCAGACCCCATGGAGTCACCAAGGCATCCACTGCCAAGGTCCTGGCATCTGAAGTCTACATTCAGCACTTGCAACATACCTTGAAGCCCAGAATCTTCATGCAAAAGTGGATGGTTGAGCGACACCAGGACTGCAACGTCTGAGTATAGAAGCAGAGAGATTGCATCTTTTTCGGGGGATGAAGTCCCTGGTCAGGACTGTATTTAAGACAAAGGCTAGGTGCTTCATGCAATGAGAAGGTTCCAACACTGACCTCAGGATATTTAGGATGCATCCGAACCTCCGAAGGGTTTGTATCATCTAAAGAATGTAAGACAGCTAGGCACCTGCCAACTGCTCTCTGAGTAGAAGGTTGTTCAAGTTCCCCACTATGGGAATCCCCAGGAACTAATTCAGAGCCAAACCAGGGGCTTGGACCTTGGTGAAGATCCAAGGTCCCGTGGACAGGCAAAATGACAGTTATCAATGAACAGGAATCCTCTATACTGAGTGTTCCTGTTCATTGATAACATGAGAACATTGTGTGTTTACTATAACTACAATCATGAATGAACAGGAGGAGATGTAGCTCACTCCCATTCATTCTGGCGGACTGTGATAGGAGGCTGAGCAGTGTGGGAGGAGACGCTGGTCGCTCACAGCGCTCTCCTCCTGCAGTGCTCGGCAGCCAGTCACAGTTTCTCTCCTCCCCGCTGGGACACAGAGCAGCGCCCAGCGGGGAGGAAAGAAAGCAGGGATGCGCCGATGTATCGGCGCGAAAATGGCACTTTCGGCATTATGCCAAAAGTGCAATTTTCGACCGGTTTCGGCGGCCGATATATTGGTGCATCCCTAGTAAATATGCATTCTTGATGTCCAAAGAAGCCAGTAAATCACCAAAGTAAGGGTTGGTGATGACTGAGAAGGTGGATTTCATATGGGATTCTTTGCACCTGAAGAAACCCACTGAATTTTTAGATCCAGAAGAGGGGCAAACTGCTCCTCCTTTGCTTTGGGGACAGTGTACAGGTTGAAACAGAACCCTTAAAATCTATCTGCCTCCAGAACGGGACTATGAACCCCAGAGGAAAGAGCTGATCAAGGGCAGCAAAAAGAACCATCTGTCTTTGAGGATATATGAGTAAATTTGACAGCAGGGAGTAAAACGCCAGCATCTAACCCTTGGTTACAACGCGCTGGACCTAGGCACCTGGAAGGTCCCAGATCTTGGAAGCTGACAGACGTTATCCCACCATTAAATGTGGGGGTGACCCTAGATTGTGAAGAGGGCTTGTTCTTGGATTTTATGGGCTTGGAGGAACAGAACTCACAACAAAACTGAGAGCCTGGCTTGGGCTTGGAACCTGAAGCCTGGGAGGGACAGAAGGAACTGGGGTAAACAAATATATAACCAAGAAAGAAAATTAGCCTTTAAAAATATAAGACAGAAGGATCTTAATTGGCATTTCAGCACTCTACCAGCAAAAATTGCATATGAACAAAATATAGTGACAAAAAGTAAAAGTAGTTCTAAAAAATTCTACAAATATATAAATAGTAAGAAAATAAGGATAGAAAATATAGGCCTCATAAAAGAGGAACAGGGAAAGTTGGTTACAAATAACTTGGAAAAAGCAGAGGTATTAAATACATTCTTCTCTTCAGTTTATACAGAAGAGAAAGACAGGCTTAATAAACAAAGTAGAAAATCTAACAACAATGGACTAAAAAGGTACCCCAGTGGTTGACAAAGATCAGAATGAAAAGGAGTGTAGAGAAACTTCATGCGAATAAATCTCCAGGAGCAGATGGCTTACACTTGCAAGTACTCAAATAAATTAGCCAGATTATAGCAAGACCATTGTTCCTAATATTTAAAGATACTTTAATGACCGGAATGGTACTGACTGGCGAAAAGCAAATGTAGTACCAATATACAAAAAAGGGTCAAGGTGTACCCTCCAGGTAACTATAGACCTGTTAGTCTTACATAAATAGTTTGCAAAATAAGGGATTATATTTTCAAAAATCTGCTCGTGATAACGGTATCATTAGTACCAACCAGCATTGGGCATTAAGAGCTGTTCTTTCCAAATAAATCTATTAACATATTATAAGGAAGTGAGTAGTAATTTAGACAAAGGAAGTCCAGATTATGTAGTTTAGCTGGACTTTGCTACTGGAGGCTTGGCCTTTTTCTTCTAAGTTAAGAAGTTGCTCTTGCCCCAGTGACTTCCTCGATGAAGGTATGAAAAACATAGGAAGGTTGAAAAGGTGTTTCCCAGCAAAATGCATGAGCTCCAGGTTCTTTTTGTAGAAGCTCCACAGACCAGCATTTAAGCCAGAGGATCCGTCGCTTGTGAACAGATAGGAGATTCCTCCTGGAGATTTGTTTGAGGGTATTTGCCAGGTCATCAATGCAATAGCACAGGGTCAAAGGAAAAAGCTCTAGGTGTCTATAACCAGCGGGAGCCGTCATGAAAGACCAAGGGTCCCAAGCTGTAGGTTTTGACCAAAGAGATAAAGTTCTTTTTGTAGAAGCTCCACATACCTGCTGTTGCCGCCATTGTGGTGTGTGAGACCGACACACCACAATGGCGGCAACAGCAGGTTACCAAGCAGGGCCTGCAAGGGCAAATAAGGCTTTAAAGAGGGCTTGATCCTTGAAAACAGGGACATCTCCCATTAAAACCTATTCAAAAAGAGATAGCTGGGTTTACAACAGGAATAGCCGATTTCTTAAGGAAAACTTATTTAATAGTGTTTTGATGAGGAAATCATTTGGGAGAAGTGAACAACTTTCCAGGGTGATCCCAGTCTTGACACAACAAGGGATGTAAAAGTTAGTGTTCAGGGATGGATTGAGCAGGTTTGGGCATTTTAAAAGAACCCAGACTAGTGACATTAAGGAAGTCTGATGCAAGTAGCTCTATCTGTAAACACGTATAGACCATTTCCACAAAGAGAAAAAAAAAGTGTCCTTGAGCTCAGGAGAAATTTCAAGAGACCGGTCCTCTTCCTGGGCTGAGTCCACCAAACTGGAAGCAGCCCCTTTTCCCTCTTCCTAAGAGAATGCAAAAACAGATAAAGGAAGATCACAGGGACATTTGAGGAGGGAAATGTAGGGGGATGAGTGCCCTGCAGTGTGCTGTGAAGATTCCCAAGGTGGGTAGTGATGGGGAAACTGAGCAGATCATAGTCATGGCAGAAACAGTGTCACCAGAAGGGACAGAACTTTCCCCGAAACCAGTGCCGGGCTGTGTGGCCACCTAGACAGCCCTGCATCTGTGATCCATCATTGCACCAGGTACTTACGTCTGTGGAGGTTGGAGGGTGCCTAGTGTCAAGATACTAGAGTCAGAAATGGTGAACCAGATGTGTTGGCTGTGTTGGGTCAGAAATGTATCTTCCCTGTGCCGATAGTTCACAGTCTCAAGAACAGTGTCAGTGGAAGAAAATGGCGGGTGCATGCACACTACAGGAGCCCAGAGGGAGACTGCACAGAAGCAACCCCAGGCCCACCCATGGGAGCCCAAAGTGGTGGCAAATAAAAAAAAAAAAAGATGACAGCAGACACCCCCCCCCGGCCCAAAAAAGTCCCAGTGACAGTAACTGAGCATCCAGAAGGGAGTAAGCTCTGGCTTACCAGTATCAAAGTGTGGTTACATTCGAAGAGCCGCAGACATTTGAAAGGACATACCCCATTTAATCTATGTCCTGCTAATGGGCATAACCCCCAAATGGAGTCTTCAGGAAAAGGGCTCCACCACAGTGGACCATGGCTGTGGACCTGTATAGAACCCTGCCGCAACTCCACATTCTGCAAGAGCCAAGGTGAGTGCCCCTTGCAGGATTCAGTGCCCAGAGCACATTACAGCCCGGACCAGCATCCTTCTTGCAGTGGGGTCCAGGTACGGTGCACCAAGACTCAGCCAAGGGGAAAACCAATAGGCATAACTGCTTAGAAGTGCTGCAGTGGCTATGTGAAGCTTAGGGAGACTTGCTAGAAGAGTCCTGACGTA